GGATTCTCAGATAAAAATTCTTTCATAGTTAACCAGTTTCTTTACAAAGCAAATTTAATAGAGGAAAAACGCCAGGCCCAGTGTTAATATATGACATAGCTACACATAAACACACAAATCTCAGTATAAAAATAACACGGGGTGAAATTCTCAAATGATTTGCAGCCTGGTTGCTTAATGAATGATTTGGTTCAACGGGCAAGCAAAACCAAACCCACACACACAGCCTTACAAATGCCTGAGTATTTGGATCAAGCTCACCCAGTCAGAGCCCACATTCACAGCTCAAAGTCCAAAAAAGTGAATGGAAAAGGTCACAGAGTGCTTCCGTACCTTAAAACCAATATATTAGCTCTCAAGGTGTCACAATGGATTCAATAAAGTAAAGCATGGACTTTTATACTGTGCTGCTGATCAATGACTAAAAATTCTTGCAAATGCATCTTTTATTTTTTCTTCAAGTCAGTCTTGCTTTTCCAGTAAGACGTGGCTTATTTGAATCAATAAGCCATAGTGCCTTTCCTGTTATAGGATGCAAGAAATCATTATGCAGGCAGAAGGAATTTAGCAAGATGCAGCAAAATGTACCTCTCTCACCATAATTTCATCCAGACAAATTAGGTTATTATAGTATCTCCAAGATGACAGCTTTGACCTGGAGATGTTTGAGATGATCACAGCATCTCTGCTGAGCACCTGTAGTGCAGAGCAGCCAGTAATACTACACAGCACTTGGAAGACAAGTAGATAATTCTTCTAGAGCACAAGACAGAAGGGAGTTTTAGTTGATCAAGTGGAATTAGCAATTTAAATTTGACTAGAACATTTGTCTCCTTCTGTGATAAACGCTACGTGATCTTTGATGGCAACTGCTTTCCAGGTCTGAGGCCATTGAGACAAGAGTACTGCACACCCAAAATGACTTGCACCATCTCACGATCTCTCATTCAAGCACTGATCCCGTCCATCCCTGATCTGCTTATGAGATCTGCAGAGATGGTAGCACAGGAGGCTACGGTTGAGAAGTTACACGTTTTCACAAGAGCAGTGTTAAAAGCTATTGCTCAGGGAACCTCACTCACTGCAGTAACGTTTACTAAGAACTTGTCATACACATCAGTCCACTTCAGCAAGCAAGGCACAAAGGCCTCAAATAGGAAATGCTGTAACAAAACAAAACCAGAGCAACACCTCAATCACATGCCAACATCGGTTCCTTATTTCCAGTCCAAATCCTGAGAGCTGTTAGCTTTTAGAGACATTAGGAAACATTGACTGCCAGCACGTTACTCACCAAACAGGAGTGAGGGTGTTGTGGCATCAAAAATAAAGTGACTCTCCCTTAAATCAGGTAAGTATGAAGATATTCCTAGCAAAGGATAAGTAAGAAGCTAATGATGGTTATTAATAGCCCTTAAAGCTAACAGTTCATCTGAGTTAAATGCAAGAGTAATAATCCCTTTATGACCTTCCCCATTTTTACCGGGGAAATGGACAAAGTTTCATGAAGGACTGCTGTTAACTGCAGTTTTCTACTATCTTAAATCTTGAAAATTACACTAACCTGAATCAGAATCTAACAGGCTCTACTATTTATAAGTATCACTGAGGACTTAAACGAGAAATGGTAGGCAGGAGCTTGGCCTTCTACCACTTCTTCAAATTCAATATGATTTTTACCCCAGACTTCCACAGGTATCATATCTACATGTTAATCTGATATGAGGCATGCCTAGAGATTATAGATCACCCAGCGTGAGAAACTGGATTGTAATGATAAAGGTAGTAGGAATTTCTTGCTATTCTTCACTTAGTCACAAATCATTAGCCCAGAAAACTTTTTCTTGTAGGAAGGAAAACTATTACTAGAACCAGTCAAGCCTTAACCTGAAATACAAGAGCTACATCTTGACCAGAAGCATGAAAGAGAAGAAAGAGTAAGAGATCTGAACTGTTCAGCTTGAAAATTTTTCCTCTGCACCTCTACTACAAATGTGGATAATTAAACACATCCATAATCACAAAAGATAACAAAACAGGATATAAAGCATCTTCCTTCTGGGGAACAGGACAAACACTGATTTTTCACAGACTGGTGAATTTTTCTCTCCAGGCACATTTGTACTTCATTTTCTTAAGCCCTTTCTCTGAAGGACTTCTTACAAGACAGGATGCAGGTACAGACAAGCCAAAGGTCTAGATGGAAATAGCAAGAACAAAAGCAAGACAACACTCTACCTTTATTCACCTTGGCTTTAGCAGAGCTTGGTAATAAACAGGGGAGATATGTACATGAGTCTGCTCAATCTACAAAGCACACACCTGGCAATGTACTTTGCCTAAGAACACAGCCTGGTATTGAAAGCAAACCTACATATTTATCTTTGAAGTAGTAATATTGGGTGTGATTGTGGTTTGGCGTTTCTTTGATTTTGTTCAGATTGGCAAGTGGCTTTGTACAACTCAAAACTTATTTTAAGACCACAGTGTCCACATTTGTTTGAGGTGCTTGCTGTTGTTCCTATGCAGAAAAGGTAAGAAGTGTTTCTATTAAATAGTAAAGATAAGGTAAGAAAATCACGGCTCTTGAATCAAACTGTGAAATGCTGCACTTGCTCCTGAAAATCTATTATATATTTTTGCAGAAATCTATGAGAGCTATGTCTAGGCCATCCACAACATGAAGAAATAACTGCGAGCTGTGTTGTGTAATGGAAAGTTATGCAATTGAAATATGAAAGTACCGAAGTTACACTGACTTTGTACTGAACTTAAGAGAACTTGGAGTGAAAATGCCTTCTTCCTCAGTTTTACCTAGTGTCTCTCTCTTGTACAGCAGATGTTACCTATGGCACAAAAACCATCTACAACTGCTCAGCAGATTGGCTCACACAGCATCATGTTCACTCCACATGCTGCTCTTGCGGTGGTTTCTATCTCAAACAGAAAACAGGCATTTTGAAGTGATTAAAAATATGGCAGCGAAAATCTACGATTTCTTACTCTTGCACCCCGTCTCCCCTTTATTGTATACTTTAAATATAAGCAAAACTCACAGTCACAGCCAGGGGATCCTGATTACACCCAAGAGTTGACAGGGACTCTGACTAGCAAGTAGCATTGAATGTCCTAACTAATTCCACATAAAAACTTAACTGGATTGGTCAAAGTCAGCATATCAACAACTTGCCTGCCCTACAGCTCTTTTGTTAGATCCAGTATTAAAGGTTAACAACAGAAGCAATGCAGTCTGCAGGAGTGCGGAGGAGTGTCCAAGGGCCAGGCTGTGGCTCATGTGCACAGGAGCAGCCGCAGTGTCAGTACAGCTGTGCACCAAGGACAGCAGGCAGTTCACCCAGCGCTCCAGCTGTTCCAGTAGTGGTTTTGGAAGAATACAGGACACTTGGGGGATTAATGAATATGCTGGTGGAGATAAGAAGGACAAGACCTGGGAAACTTGAAATGTTTCCAGATTAGCCTAATCTATTGTTTACATAGTCCCCATCCCCATTATTTTCTCTGCAATATTGCATATATTTAAATAAAGATTCTGTTCTGTTTCAAATGTCCTGAGGTATGAAAGCTCATCAAGGGAAATATTTCAACTAGTTATCATGAAGGAAACACAGGGGAGATTTGTTAACGCTGAAGTTGCTGTATCAGAAATGAAGAACAGGTTTAGGAGACTTGGGTCTCCCACTTCTGGGCTCGTTGCATGGTTAGAGAACACAAATTGTTCTAATCTGAGTGGCCTCCTAATCACCATCACCCCAGGAGAGGGTAGTTAATTCACAGCACTAGTCTGCATTTGGCAGAGGGGCTGTTTCACTCTCTAAACACGTACAGTTTCTACATGGGAGGGGGCCAAAGGGAAGAATCAGCAGAGCCCTCGACCTAGAGAGCTGCCCAGACGGTGACTACGTGTGCCAGGGGGGAGTGAGAGATTCCAGCAGATACCTAAGACAAGGCACTTTATGGATTTAAAGCACCTCATTTATGAGGATAACTTCTTCCCTAGCCCTGGCAACTAAAAGCAGCAACATGCCAGCCTAATTAATTACTGGTTGAAGAATCTGAAGGGCTAGAATCCATTTTAAGATGTTATTAAGGAGAGACTCAAAAAAACCCAACAATTGGATAATTTATTTTTACTGACTCAGTTATGTTAGAATAAAGCTAAAAAACCACAAAGAGGTTTCTGTGGAGCTGACAGGTAATGTAAAATTTGATGCACTACAGTGTACACTAAAGCATGATACACACTAAGGTCTTTGAGCCGGATCAGAGATGCACTCCAGGGCTAAATAAGATTGACACGTGAAGACTAGATGCAGTATGCTATTAAAAATTATTAAGTAGCCTATTAATTAGATTCTATTAGACTTATAATCATGAAATACTTCAGAAATTTTTCATTCCAGTTCTCATTAGCACCACAAGGAGACCTCAAAATTATTCCTTTCACACTCATGCTCCCAAGTTAAGAATACAAATCATATCTCCAGAAAACAGCACTGTAAATATACATATGGTTGTGTATTTCCTTCCTTGCGACATTCCAGTCAATTCGAACCATAACACAGCTACTAGATGCTGCCAGCATGAAAGGAAAACAGGATGCATGGCTGCATATAGAGGCTCACACCCCATACTATTTTTCTTTTAGAAAGGTAAAATACACCTGTAATAGCTTCTGTGACAAGGGTACTAGAGTCATCATCTGAAATCCTTCTCTCTGCCTTGAATTCTTATGCAAAATAGAAGGTAGTAGCTTGAATTTTGCAGAATTTACTCAATAACAATTTCTAGAATTTTGAAGCCAGCTGCTTTAAAATAGCAAATAGGAGAATAAAGAGGTAGTTTGGTAACTTTTACCTTCACAAAAAGCAGCAGTCATGCAAGGAGTTGGGGCTTCGGAATGGAATCAGGTGTGATTTGATAACTGCTGTCATTTCATACTTAGGTAACTTCCTGTGAAAATAAAGCATATCTGACAGTACCTGTTCCTCTTTTTCTTTGGTCTTGCTCCTGGAGACTCTGGAAGAGGTAACATCCTGAGCTGGAATGACAGAGATCTGATGCAGTGGCATGTTCATCACACCGCTTTGTTTGGTCCTATCATTTACAGGAAGGAGGCTTGAAGGCAGTGCTCATTCGGTGCCATTGTCAGGCCTTGCACCTAAAACACAAGAATATTAGATGATGTTAAAGTAGCTTGAAATGCAATTATTTCTAAACCAAAGCTAAGCCATCAACTGGACTAAGAGGCACCTCTTCTTTTCTCTCTGGATTCTGAAACAGGAGCGACTTTTGTGCAGTGTCCTTGTGAGAAAAGACAAAGGAGTTTTAAAGAGCTAGAACTAGACAGGTCAGAGCACAATTTATGCAAATGAATATATAAATAAATTATCAACCACTTCTGAAAGTGGTCCGAGAGGAGAGTCAGAGGCCCAGGATCATGACTGAGTCTAGGAGAAGGAGGAGATAGGGAGAAGGAGGAAGAGCAGCTCTCCAAGCTGAGCAGCATGAGTGTGCTACTTGGAGGTACAAAGAGCAAAGCTCATGCAGGTAGTTTCCTAAACTGCCAGCCCCACCACACTGGATCGAGCTGCCTCAGGCATCATCTTGAATCAGGCTGATTACCACAGCTTTGGCCAAAACCAGTCAGTGGCCTGCATCTGGCTCCTGACATTCATATAAACATGTACTACCTGGCAGTAGGAAGATGCATCACGTGAGCTGCCCCTTTCTTAAAGCTATTAGTGAATAATATAATCAAAATCCCTTGCTAGGAATCGGGAACGCACTGACTACGCACACTTTACCCTTCTTTTACCAATACAACAGGGAAACATTATACACAAAAAGACAGTGATTGACATAAATAAGCCCAAATTGGCAACACTAATCTGAAAGGCAGGCATAATTAACCATACTTTTTATTAGATTAGCGAAGTTACATTAAATAAAAAGCTTTTTGAAACATGTAGGATCATGGAGTTACATTAGGAATGTAACCTGCCACAAATCAGACACAATAAATTGTGTTTAAAAAAGGATTAGAAGGGAATTAACACAGCAGAGACTGTACTAAATAGGGCAACTGAATGATGCACTGCTCTGTTTCTATAACATATCAACATTTTGTTTGTTTGTTTTTAATCTGTGAAAGTAGAAAACAGATAACAGATAGATGCCCTATATATTATGTTGCTTAACACTTTGGAAGTAGTATAGTTTAGCACTTAGTGAGTATTTAATTAATTCTAAGTTTTAAAGATAGACCAAGCTTCCTAGGTTTTTGATTCTGCAAAAGATGTCAGTCTGGTTCTATTTCCTTTAGACTTCACAGGAGTACTGCAGTTGTGTAAAATGAACATAGGATCAAATCTTTTGACTGCTTTTGATTAAATGACAAAAAAAAAAAAATTACATATCCCAAGGTATTTCCATCTGGGAAATGAGAGTTCAGTATCCTTTTTTTTTGAAAGAGTTATCAAAGGTCATAGAGCAAGTCAGGAGCACAACCAAAAATGCAGGCAATGCCTGCTACTTCCCAATCACACATTCCATTTGCTGGATAACGCTGTCCACCCATCAGCATGATCAGCCAAATTCAGAAGCCTCACCGACATGTGGTCAGGATTTATATTATTTCTATAGATGCCAAGATGGTGCATCATAAAGCATGCATGAATGCTTTAAAGGCGGTACCTAGAAGTTATGCAGGCATTGCCAAATTAAAAAATAAAACATATTGATATGCATAAACAAGCAAATACAAGGACACTTCTTTACTGGAGGACAGAGGGAAACATGGGACTTACCAGCACTACTGAATCTCAGCATAAAGCATAAAGAGAAAACACAGAACCTCCCTGGGTCTTCCACACACCTGTTTAGCTGCATCCCCTAAAGGAGTCAAGCCAGAATAGAAAAATGTGGGCTGAGACAGGAATATCAAACTTCAATAAACAAATCAGGAAGGGAAGGTATTTTCCCAAGAAAACATAAGGAAATGAAATCCAGAGAACATTAAGCTTTGGTGAAAATACACCAGGTAATATGTTCTGTGCTACTGCCAGCAACAGCTGAGCTAAAGGGAAGGAGACAGACCCTGCCCTGTGCCCCCCCTCAAAAAGGGTTCTGGCCTTGCAGGCAAGGACGTCTTATTACCATAGAAAGAACAAGGAAAATTATTAGAAAACAGTTAAACTCCTCCTGATGATGACAAACAAGTCAAACCAGTTTTTCTACAGGTACGAGGATAGTGTGTTAGAATTTTTTGAAAGAGCTTAAGCAGCAGATATAATCCAATTAGATATTCAAGGATGATGTGAAACAGCCCTTCTCTGGTAAATAAACCTGGCAGATGCTCTAATAAAGCCTGTCTTTGTTGAAGGGTGGCTTAGAAGAAGCTCTAAACTTAACCCAGATGCCACACTGTAGCATCCCCAATCTGGAAGGTCCTTAACAATGTACACACTCAAGCCTGTCTATACCAACCTGAAGCACATTAACTCCACAGCACTAATTAAAGGATGAAGTTACATGAATCGACAGACCATCTACAGTACCAAGTACAAACAGACAAGGATGCCAGGAAAGCAATGCCATTGAACACAAAGTAAGTTATGACAAAAGCTCCACAGGACGTTTCCACAGCTAAGTTAACACCACATGCTCCCTGATCCAGGGGTGAGGAGTTGGGCACCTGTGAAGAGGCATCCAAGCTTCACGCAGATCAGACTGGGGGCCTGCCAAAAAAGCCCCCAGGGAACAAATGCTAAGGCAAGGGAGCAAATGATCCTAGACATTCCCTTCTCTTCAGGATTCCAGTCAGATGTTCAGGCCATCCCTCATGCAAAATGAGGGTTTCTCATTACTACAGCACCTCCAGCCAACAGCTGAGTACACTCACTCGGCTCAGGTGGCTCAGCTTCCTCCTCCCTTACGTCCTATTGCCACTGCTGAGGCTGCACCTTGAATGCTGTGTTCAGTTTTGGGCCCCTCACTACAGGAAAGACAGAGAGATGCTGGAGCCTGTGCAGAGAAGGGCAATGGAGTTGGTGAAGGGTCTGGTGCACAAGTCCTGTGAGGAGAAGCTGAGGGAGCTGGGGGTGTTCAGCCTGGAGGAGGTTCAGGGGAGACCTTGTTTCTCTCTACAACTGCCTGGAAGGAGGGTGCAGAGAGGTGGGTGTTGGTGTTTTCTCCCAAGTGACAGGATAAGAGGAAACAGCCTCACGTTGTGCCAGGGGAGGTTTAGATTGGATATTAGGAAAAATTTATTCCCTGAAAGGGCTCTCAGGCATTGGAACAGGCTGCCCAGGGAGGTGGCTGAGTCACCATCACTGGAGGTATGAGACGTGGATGAGGTGCTTAGGGACATGGTTTAGCAGTGGACTTGGCAGTGTTAGTTTAACGGTTGAACTTGATGAACTTACAGGTCTTTTCCAACCTAAAAGATTCTACCATTCCATGATTTGGCTCATAAACCACATGTGCAAGGGAAGTCCCATGACCACCCATGTAGATGCTGTTCTATTTACTGAGGAAGGATTTTCCAGCTCCTTTTTGCCTGGAAAGCTGAAGTAATCATGGGATAGCAGAATAGGAAGAGAGAGGGGATGTGCACCAGCCAGATCCCATAGGCAGGGCGGTCATTTGCACATGAAGGAGAAGGGATCCTATTCTCCTCCTGCCCCCATGGCTGTTCATGTATCATTCACTGGAGTAAAAAAGAACTCTTTTAGGAGTTTGGGCATACAGCAAACTATAATAAAAGTTAAACCTGTTTTTAGGGCTGGACCCTTTAGAGATTTCTTTACTGCCAACACCTCACAAATACAGACTAGTGTTGTTGTCCAAGGAGGTTTCCTGCAAACTTGGATGGGGCACATGGGAATGCGAGGACACAGGACAGCCTGAAGCTCTACTGCTCCCCTTATATATAGCCTCACAGCTTCCTGAAAAATAGTTTCTAGCCATACTGTCATTGCAGAGAGCCTTCAGAAACCAGTATCATTTCAAAAGACAAAAAAGAGGTCAAACCCTAGCCTCAGAGCCCACAGAAGATTTTAGCTCAATGGAGCTAAGATTTCACCCACTCATGTAGTCCAGTTTTGCTTCCTGAAGGGCAGCAAAAACAGTACCTCAAAATGCCAGCAGATGCCTGGAACCACATCAGCTGGGCCCTTATTCAGAGAACAGAGTCTCTGAAGGTAGTTGAGAAGAATTAAAAATGAAAAAAAGGATGCATGTGATTTGGGCCTGGTGGCTGGGGCATTCCCCTGAGCAATCCATCTCATGACAGCAACAGAAGCAGAAAATTAGGCTCCTCCTGCATTATCATTAATTACGTGAGCGGGGACAACCAACAACAACAGATAAGCTCACTATAGCAGAATTAGGTGGAGACTAACCCCAGTTCCATCATCCACCCTGTCAAGACCTCAGTTTGTCAAGTGACAGAACAAGAACATAAATCAGCCATGAGATGAACCTAACAGTCTGTAAATTGCTGAATTGTTATAGTGAGAAATGCCATTGGAAGAAAGGAGGTGGATGAAGCTATATCCTGTGTCCCTCACCTGCCACCCACTGAAGCTTCTCTGCCCATTACACATTCCAAAATAAAAGCTAAACTGCTCTTTGCCAAAGATTCCCAGCTAGACTGGGGCAAGTAAGCACTGTTTCCTGTCTGTGGTTTGCAATCTACTGGAATCTAAAAACATACAGTATGAACTGCAGATTTTATTAGGTCATTTACACTTCAGAAAGTCCACCATATTCCCTTGCTACACGGCATATACTAGAGAACTTCAGCAGAAGCTCTGGAGTGGCACTGGCTGCAGAAGTCCCCAGGCATTACGAAAAGAAAAGGTATGTACACATGCTTTGCATTACATATAGAAGGGGTGGGGGTGGGGAACAGCAGTCAAGTATGTCCGCTGTTTTCCTATTTAAAGTATAATACGTATTCTGGATCATAAAAGAATCTGTCTTTATGTGCATGAAAGATAAACCCAGGAACCTGCTGCAGAAGCAAGATGATCATCACTAACAGAAGGGAATGAGAAGGAACTTCACCTGTGAGTCATTCCAGTATGCCCCGAGGCTTCTCACACTTTTCTTCAGCTCCCCTAGCCCCCATTAAGGACATCTGTATCACACAGGTCA